TCGCTAAAACCCTCGTAAATATTTAGCAACAACAACCAAATTCACCATAAAGTTTTGTTGATGTAAATTCATTCTACTCATAATCATATTTTCAGTCTAATTAAATAAATAATTGAGTCATCATCGTTCATGGCATACTTTCAGTCTAAATAAATAAATACTTGAGTAAATTACACGAATGGTCCCTATGGTTTGAGGTAATTTGCATGTTTGGTCCCTAACTTATTTTTTTAATTCGGAAGGTCGCTATGGTTTGTTTTTGTTACACGTTTGGTCCCTAATGTTTATTTTTGTTATGCGTTTGGTCCCTGTTTTATCTAAAAAGACTATTATTTAAAGAGAAAAAAATGATGGGGTAGGTGAGGTAAAGTGAGGGGTAGGATTAGGGGTGTGTTTATTTAGATAAATTAAAAAAATCAAGGGTATAATAGTCTTTTTAGGTAAGATAGGAACCAACCGCGTAACAAAAACAAACAGTAGGACCTTCCGAGTTAAAAAAATAAGTTAGGGACCAAACGCGCAAATTACCCTAAACCATAGGGACCATTCGTGTAATTTACTCTAAATACTTTGAGATGATAACGAATAATGTTTAAGATTGTACGATCTTAAAATAAAGTAAAATCATGTTAATTTATTGTTTTTTTTTAAAGAGAAATCATGTTTACTGTTGTGATGTACGAATAATGAATTGTGACCAACTGTTACCTTTTTGGCATTTACCGGGATGAACTTTCCAAGAAGTTAGCGCGATAACACATGCCAATGTATTTATGATCCGGTCATGAGCCGAAAAGATCAAACGGTCGCCCCATGATCCGTCAGGTAGTTGATTTTTCACAATCCACTCTAAACTTGACGGAAACTCGGGGCGACCATTTCCGTTAATATCCTGAACGAGTGCAACCCAAGCTGTGTCATAAGCCGATACAGTTATCTCTCCTTCATCCATCGATCCCAACATCACTTTGATCCTCTCGACAAACCCTTTGATCTCATCATTCGGATACAAAATCTTCTGTTAGGGTTTGAGGCATGATGAGAAAATGTTAGTACCAAACAAATTAAAAGGCCTTTTACTTCAAAATATAACTATAGAAGGTAAAAATGAGATTATAAGTACAAAATAGCACCTTTTCTTTATCCAACTCATCCTCCACGATGTCATTTTGCCAGTTTATAAATGGTATACCATTTTTTTGAAGTACATCAAAGTATTCTACACCATCACATATAAAGAAATATTATATTAAAAAAATATATAAACAAACAAAAAAGTTACATATTATCTTTAAAAGTAATTTTTTGAATAAAAGGAAATAAAATAAAGCTCTATTTATAGTAATCGGACCGTTTGATTAATTAAATTACATTTTTTTTATCTCAAATATTATTAATGAGTAATCTTGACACCCATAAAACAATGAATAAAATAAATGTTAAAATATTTTATTCTAATTAATAAGGATCAGAAAAGGAAGTTCTTTTTATGGGATATATGCATCAAAAGATTAATAAAAGAAATGTTAACATTTTGGGATACTTACCTTGTGTAGGAGACTTTGATACGGCTTTGCATTGGATTTTCGATCCAGTAAGGACTACACTGCCTGTAGACCAATTGCAATAATTAAAATTTAATTTATGAACAATAAAGAAAAAAAAAAAAAAAAAAACGGGATTTTCCTATAAAGAATTGAGTGCTTGAGATCGAAGCAGAAAGGAATAAAGTTACAATGATGATGATCGTATTCTACTGCTCCAAATTGAGTGATGAAAACAGTGGGATCCAACTCACGCGCATAGAGAGATAAAGCTCTAATCTTCGCAACCGCAAGAACAAAATGATTAACCAAAATTAAAGAAATTTCGTAATTCCCCATATACGTTAATTAAAGAAATCTCAACGGTTTACCAGCAATGAGTACTTGAAAATTACGACAAGAGTAGAACTGTTTTATCGACTTTAACTTGTATTCATTAATTCACATAAACATATGTATATATACAGTATACGTGTAAGTATATATATACAGGCATAAATACAGATACTACGAGAGAGAGAGAGAGAGAGAGAGAGAGAGAGAGAGAGAGAGAGAGAGAGAGAGAGAGAGAGAGAGAGAGAGAGAGAGAGAGAGAGAGAGAGAGCACTACCACTGGATGGAAGGAGGGATGAAAGACGATGAGAACCTGCCGCCGGTGAGAACCGGGGGTGGAAGGTTGGAATCGGAGAGGAGATCATCGTCTTCATGGCGATTGGATTATAGGATTTTGTACTTTTAAACACAGCTTTTGCGCTGAAGAGGTAACGATTTATAGCCTTTAAGAATAATATATATATATATATATATATATATATTTAAAGGTTCTTCACTTATTGGATGGACATCACTCTCTATATATACGAATACCTGTATCTAAAATAACAAGGGGGTGTGGGTGGACGGTAGGAGAAGAAGACAGAAAGGAGTTCCCAAGAGATACTCAGAAATGTGTGCATGGGATCATTGTTGCTACCTTATAATCTAGTAAGAATCTTGTTGCCAACAAGCCTTGTTTTGTTTTAGTCTACACAACACACACACACAAACATATATATATATATATATATATATATATATATATATATATATATATATATATATATATATATATATATATATATATAATCTAATCTCCCTATACTAATAAAAGAGTAGTTTTTTTTACCATTTTTCACTATATTAGACCTCTTAATTAATGTGTTGTCACTTGTTAATTTATTAGTTCTTCATTTTAAATTTATTAAACCTCCTCATTAATGTGATGCTATTTTCAATGTATTTATTCTCTATTTTAAATTAAATTTTAAAATTTATATTATTGTTTTCATTAATTCACAAAAAAAGTGTATTATGTATTAAAAATTATTTTTATATATTTATTTGAATAAACGATTATAATTTCACATAACTAATAAAAATATCTCTTAATTAGTAATTTATTTAAAATAATTGATTAATGATTTTGATTTTTTTTATTATAAAAGTTTAGTTATTTTTATAACCGTGATTCCCACAAGTTATAAACAAGTAAAAGAATAGTTTTAATCTCATTTTGACATGTGTTACACATTTTTTTTTGTCATGTGTCACCCTATTAAACCTCTTAATTAATTATGCTACTTGTCAACCTATTAATTATCTATTTCAAAATTTAAAATTTTAACTTTAATTACAATAAATTAATAACAATGCAATAAAAATTAAAATAAAATTAATATAAATTATAAGATGATATAATTTCATATATTTATTTAAATTAACGATTATAATTGATTAATAATTTTTTGTTCAAACTATTAAAGTTTAATTAATTTTGTAGCCGTGGTTTCACGGGTTATAAACTAGTGTGTGTGTGTGTATACACACACACACACACACACACACACACACACACATATATATATATATATATATATATATATATATATATATATATATATATATATATATATATATATATATATATATATATACATTCATGTGAGACCAATATATTTTGTAAAACGGGTTTACGCAATCCTAGTCACTCATTTTTTAAATAAAAAACATTTTTAAAATGCAAAATAAATGAAATTTTTCAAAAAAATTTAAAAATATTATTTTTATTACTTTTTTTATCCATAAAATAAATAATTAAAAAATTAAAAAAAATTACCTTCTTTTTGAAATATCAGTGAAATATTCTAATAAAATATTTAAAATATTTTACATATCTGACAAATCTACTAGAATACTAGAATATTTTAACATTCTAAAAATTACATTGGAGTATTTACAATGAAATATTTTATTAGAATATTTTACGTATTTTTCATAGTGTGATGCGCTGCGATCATGCCGACTCATTTCCTTTCGAAGTAGAAATACCTAAAACCAAAACTGAAAAGCGTAAGCACAAAGCTTAGTGAGTTCCCCAATCATACCACATATCATACAATAAACATACTGCATAGCATATTCGTGTGTTGTCTTACCCTTTCGGTCTCTTTCAACGGGATACTACCGAGCATATTTGGGTACTGGCCTACCCCTTCGGGCTCTTTCAACCGGATACCGCTTAGCATATATGGGTGTTGACCTACCCATTCGATCTCTTTCAACCGGATACTGCCTATAATATCTGGGTGTTGGCCTACCCCTTCAGTCTCTTTCAATCGGTTACTACCTAGCATATCTTGGTGCTGGCATACCCCTTCGGTCTCTTTAAACCGGTTATGGGGTATATTTCACACTTACCACTACCATATAATATCCTAGCATATAAGCACATAAATCACATATTGCCTAGCATATTTGGGTGTTGGCCTACCCCTTCGGCCTCTTTCAACTGGTTACAAGGTCTACTTCACCCCTATACTACCACATAATAACATAGCATACAAGCACATAAATCTCAAAAGATAGTGGCATACCAGACAATTATCACAAAGACAATCATCTCTACTGTAAACAACTACTAGTGGCCGACATTGGTGCCTTCGACCCACTTATACTGGGAAGGTAACTCACCCCGAAAACTGGAAGTAGCTGAATAGTCCCATGCTCTGAATATCAACCCAACTCAATCCCCTACACATAAAAATTCCCTTAATTACCCTTTCATACTCATAACCCCTTAAGGGTCAACTTTGGTCTAAGTCAATGTCAAAGTCAACGCTCCGAGTTGACTCAACTCGTTGAGTTTTCCCTTCAACTCGCCGAGTTCCCATGAATCACAGAATCATGAAATCGCGATCTAACTCGTCGAGTTTTCCTCCAATTCACCGAATTCTTCCTTTTCAACAAAATCGGGACTCCTCAATTGTAACGTCCTGTTCCGAATCACTTTCCTAATTCAGGATGGTGGCTCGAGGATAGGCTATCGTATGGCTTAGGGCCTTTGGAAATGGAGATTTAAACCCATTTAGGTGTAGAGGATGTAATTTAGGTAGTCTGGGAGTACGCCCAACGTACTTGTATAAGTGTTTCGAAGTCAGTCACCCTCCCTATACCTTTGCATGCGAGCCACGTTTCATGCATGGTCCTTTTGGGTTGCCTTCACCATAGCAACTTGACAAGGTAATTTAAGGAGAGAAAGGATATTATGATTTATTAATATATTATAAGATTAATATATTAAAAGAGAAATCATACTATTTAATTAATATTGGTCATAAATTAATTAGAAATTAATTTGGTGACTAAAAGAGATTAATTAAATAAAGGGGTAAGGAAACCTAATGGACTAAGGGGGAACGAAATTAACTGTCAAATGTATGATAGTTAAGTTTTGGACTAAGGAAACCTAATGGACTAAGGGGGAACGAAATTATGATGAAGGATCATCATATTTTCGTCTAAGGGCCTTATTCCAAAAGGTTCCTTGGGCTGCTTGATGGCTAAGTTATCAATTAGGGTTTTGACTGAAACCATAGCATCCAGCAGTATAAATAGGGACCCCTAACTCCCAAATTCGGCCACTTGCTTCCAAGGAAACCCTAGGGCCGAATTTAGCATCCTCCCAGCTCTCTCATATAGTTTCCTTCTTGCTTGTGGTGTTTGTAAGCCATTAGAGGAGTTACAATTGTGATTCTAAGCTCCAAGAAAGAAGAATCAAGCTTCCATTAAATAGGTAAACATCTAGACCTGATTCTATATGTTATTTTTTGATATATGTATGCTAGATAGGGTTTATAAGTCTGGGATTCATTGCATGTACAATAGAGAAACCTAGATCCAAGCATTTGGGTTTGTATGAGCATATAGGATGGTTCTAATGTATAAAACCCATCAGGTTCTTTATATAGTCACATGCCCTAAAAATTAGGGTTTAGGGTATCTGAGAGTACGTTGGGCATACTCCTCCCACACCTGTGATCATTTTACTCTACCAAGTTGGGCGTACTCCCAGCTTACACTGGGCGTACCCAAGCGGACACGTCATACTTCCCTTGCATGCATGGGACTTGCTTGCCAAACATTTCCATTAGGGATCATTTATGCCAATAACTTCAAAGTGCTATAACTTCTTTCTTCTAAGTCTGTTTCCGACGAACTTTATATCCACGAAAAGGTGGCGAGAAGCCTTACGCTCCTAGATACACACCCAAGCCTTAAACCTTCTGAATAAATCCTGAGACCCATAAAAGACCGAATCGCTTATATCTTGGGCCTCTGAGACTGCCACCATAGTACTTTTCAAAACGGGGTGTTAAAGAATGGCTCACAATCACTCACAGTAGCTTTAGGGTTTCGAGATTTAGGTTTAGGGACTTGGAAGCTAGAAATGAGGCCAATACCTTGGGATTAAGGTGTTTAAATAGGGTGCAAACCCCGTAAATTAGGGTTTCATGTCCGCCAGCTTACTCTTCGAGTTGAGGCCTCCTAACTCGTCAAGTAGCTCACTTAAAATATGTGGACCGTATGATCTCTACTCGACAAGTTTGGGGCTCCCAAATCGTCAAGTTTCTCTATAAAATAGAATGAACTATAAGTTAAATACATCCCAGAAACCAGGCACCACATAAGCGTTTATGAGGATTGTAAATATTTAGGGCTTGGGAAGTGTTTAGGGTTTCTTATAACACAAATGCATGCATTGAAGCAAGGCATAATCAATGGGTTCAAATTGGATTGTTTTATACATATATTGGTGAGCAATGTCTTGGCTATGATGTATAGAAATAAGTTTTGATTTGGGACAATAACAAAACAAGTGTGGGGTATTTTGGTATTGTTGCATTTATACATTTGTTTATGCAGTATCTCAACACATTTGAGCTATAATTTGGGTGAATATTAAGATATTTGGTACTTATTAGTATCAATTCAATTTTTGTAGTTAAAAGAAGGCATTCAAGAATAGGCTAAAATTGTACAAAGCTAGAAGATGAAGGTTGGAATACGATTTAAAAAGAGAAGAAGCTTCAAAATCGTGTATCAAGAAGATCACCACGGCGCGGTAATTTCTTTTCCACACCATGGTGCCATGAAGATTCTCGATCAAAGAAGACTTCCTTGTTGAATACAATTAGGAGGCATTGACCATGACGTGGCAAACATTTGGCCACGACATGTGTGACATCCCCGGTTTCGTGGTCAGAAAATGACCGATTTGTTTATGCTTTATTTTAAAATCAGAGTAATCGTTTAAAAAAAAGAGTTGCAGAATTTGTTCCCGAAGCAAAATATGATAAGAATTTATAAAAGCATTTCTTTAAAGAAATGTATTTTCATTATATAACAAAATCTCGGGATGTCATGTTCAATACAAACCAAAAGCATAAACAGAAAAAATAGACCTTACAACAGTTATTCATAACTACTGGCCTACAATCCAAAATCTCTCGTTATGTCAGCCAACTTATGCTCTCGTACCATAACCTGTAATACAAAGAAAACTAAGAGGGTCAGGCTTGGGAGCCTGGTGAGCATATAGGGTTTTCAACCCACAATAATATAATTATTATATTCAATT